ATGTCTGAAACGCGCTTGTCGACCTACTTTGCACGGACTATCCGAGGAATTTCGCGTGCCGCGGGACTCGCTATTCGTCCTGATGATTCCACGACTACAGCCGGTGTGGCTGGGGACGGACGAGGAGATCAGCCTTATGTACCCGAGCAGTCAATGCCGCCGGTGAGCGCGGATGGTGCAGGCGACGCCGGACTCTACGACGCCGACACGTTCTGGGCGGGACATGATCCCTTCGACTTGAGCTGCGTGCTGGGCCTGTCGGGTGTTGGTGTGGCGCAGGATACGGAGTGGCTCGACCCGGCTCTGGGGAATCTGGGGTCCTTCACTCAACTTGCAACGCCTTGGAATATGATCTTTGGTACCGGGGAAGGGTCTGTCTGACGTCGGGACCCATGTTGGCGGACCAGTCCTCTTCCGTGGGTCGTTTGCATTGCGACGCTACAATACATACGTGGACGGTGTAATTTGCACGTGGCCGCCGCGGTCATACGTAGTCCCAAACCCCCTCAAGACTATTTCCCTTCGTATCTCAAGTCGTGCAGGACAGCCCCAGTACACGACATCCGCTTTCCCATACCGTCCCAAATGTCACCTAAGATGCAGAGCAGTGGTGTTTCGCGCATCTATACGCACATCATGATGCCAGATATTCACACACTGATCGATCCCTGGACTGCAGGGGATGATCAGGTGATTCTCAGTGAGCGGATCATGTCGATTATACAATAACCCGTGAGGGTACTCAGTGATCAAAAAGCGGCAAGAGGTGAGCACTAAAACGGAAAGGGAAAGGTCTTAAGTGCCAGGCATTATTATCCGGTATGTATGTACGTCTCCAACCAAAAGATCTGCAATTTTTCCAATTTCCGACTACTCCGTAACTTACTATTATTCGCTTTTGTATGTGGAATTCGAAAATTTGAAACATCTGCAAGTTCCGTCACAGTATCTCGGGCCGACAATGGACCATTATCATCACTTATTGCTGTATTTGAAGTATGATTGACCTTTGACTAACCATTCTAATTCTAAGTTATGCGCAGGTCCCCCGCTCCGGAGTTCCAGTGAGCCCGGAGTCTCAGGGGTCGCGGGTCTAAACATTGCCCCATCTTTTCTCCGGCGGGGCCGTCGGCCTTTTATCGGGGGGCTAACTGTATGAGGAGAGATCTTCAGGATAGATGCACTATATTGGATGGAAACCACTTTGTGAAGGATTGGCAACCCGTTGCAAGGGTTATGGCAAACAATGTCAAGGTCTCAGAGTCCGGCTGCGTAGAGAGGTCATCTTGGAGATCCAGATATAAAAGGAGGCGAGCTTCTCCGATCAGTATCGCACTCAAATCATTACCACAAGCCCACTTCAGTCTTAAATAAGCTGAGGCATCAGTTTTGCCTACATTATGAAGCTGTCCCACACCCTGGCAGCGTTTCTACTCCCCCTTGATATGCATTGTATCAGCGGCGGATGTGAAAGCATGGAAGTCCCGCAATATTTACTTCGCCTTGACTGATCGCATTGCCCGTGGAAGCGATGATAAAGGTGGAGATGCCTGCGGCAACCTTGGAAACTACTGCGGTGGAACTTTCCAAGGGTTGGAGTCCAAGCTTGACTATATTAAGGGGATGGGATTCGATGCAATCTGGATCACCCCAGTCATCGCTAGTAAGTTCGATTAGTTCCTCAGGCTGTTCTGTTCTCGACCACACGTATCTAATTGCGTTACCATTTCTATAGATGCGCCAGGTGGATATCATGGATATTGGGCGCGGGATCTCTATAGCATCAATGAGAACTACGGCACCGCTGATGATCTCAAAAGTCTAGTTGATGCTGCTCATAAGAAGGCAAGTACAATCCATGGCGATTCCTCTAGTCCAAGTTGGAAGGTACTGACTGGCTTCGAAAATAGGATATCTATGTCATGGCAGACGTAGTCGCCAACCACATGGGAGGCCCCATCAGCGATAACAAGCCGGAGCCATTGAACCAAGATAGTTCCTACCATCCCAAATGCACAATCGACTACTCAAACCAGAATAGTATTGAAAACTGTCGTATCGCAGCAGACCTACCTGATGTGAACACACAGAGTCCCGAGATCCGGACCCTCTTCCAGAAATGGGTCAAATGGCTCATCGCTGAATACGGGTTCGACGGCTTGCGTATCGACACCGTCAAGCACGTTGAAAAGGACTTCTGGTCAGCCTTCTCCTCCGCTGCCGGGGTTTACACCATCGGCGAAGTCTGGGACGGTGACCCAACCTACCTTGCCGGATACGCAAAGGATATGGACGGCCTGCTCAACTACGCAGTCTACTATCCCGTGAACAAGTTCTACCAGCAAAAGGGCTCTTCTCAGGACATTGTTGACATGCATGATAAAATCGACACCGCTTTCCCTGATCCCAGCGCCCTGGGCACGTTCATAGACAATCACGACAATGCGCGATGGCTGAGCGTGAAGAATGACAAATCGCTTCTGAAAAACGCACTTGCCTACGTGATTCTCGCCCGGGGTATCCCGATCGTCTACTACGGCACAGAACAGGGTTACGCCGGCGGCAATGACCCCGCAAACCGCGAGGACTTATGGCGCAGCAAATTCAGCACTGACGCGGACTTGTACAAGGCCATCTCCCTGCTCTCGGCGGCGAGAAAGGCTACTGGCGGCCTCGCTGACAACGACCATGTCCATCTGTACATCGCGGACTCGGCATATGCATGGAGCAGGGCAGGTGGGGACCTCATTGTCCTTACGTCCAATAGTGGATCTGGGTCTGAGGATAAGCACTGCTTTGACTCTAAAAAGCCTGGTGGGACGTGGAAGAATACCTTTGGAGAGGGGACAATCACCGCCGATGGAAGTGGAAAAATCTGCATCTCTATCTCTAATGGTGAGCCTGCAGTGCTGGTTGCAAGCACTTAGTTTAGAGTGACTAGTTCTCTCTACTCGGGTCTTCATAACCGCCTAGCTGCACTGATTTTCAGGCTTTGTTCTATTCAGTTATGCGATAGTCCCGATCATGTTGTCAAGCCTACTCCCAATCAACAATATGGTTGTATTGGCGCAACGACATTCTGTTTTAGATGTTCTTGTCATCTTTCATTTCTGTATTTAATGTACTTGACTAAATCGAAGACTCTACCAGCTGAAGACTGTAACACTGTGTTCGTTTTTATCTCAATTTCCGCTTCTACCCCGAGATCCATTCGATTTAGAGGCAGTTACTTCATCTTGTAGTAAATTAAAATTGAAAAAAGTCACCCACAAAATATTCTCCATGGAACTAAAGTGGACTAGTTCAGTATGTAACCTTCACCGAGTGAATCTCAAGGGTGCTGCGCTGGCATCACAAGTACTTATGGCATTTTACCATGGGTCAGTTCTACTACTCATGGAACCGTAAATCATACAAACCTGCCATCTAGAATAGGTAGGGTCTTCCCTCGAAAAATAAACAAAATAAAAATAAAAATAAAAACATACAACAGCATGTCTAAGGTGGTGGTCACCTAGCGCCCACGATTCGGGCGTGGGCGGCTCGCCGCTCTATTCAGGACACTCAGGGCAGATATTCACCCACCTAAATATTCCTCACCCAAATATTCAGCCTATATAGCAAAAAAAGTACATTTCCCATCATAAACAAAAAGCTATAAGTATCCTTATTTTCCCGTCCTTTTTTATTTCTCTAGCCTCGCTTTATCACTATAACCTCACTACGTCACTCTAGCCTAACCTCGCTTTGTTATAAGTAAAATGCGTATAAAATATAACCAAACGTTCAAATATATGGCTAATGTTGTGGATTTTAGGGAGTATAGTAATAATAAAATCCCACGGGTAGTGCTACCACGAATAGAATCTAGTTATAGTGATAAGTTACTTATTTTCGACGAGTAAGTTGTGAAGGATATGGCGCACATTCTCCCGGCCAAAAGACCATTATACTAGAGCACATGCTCTGATATGCCCGGGACCAATATATATATAGTATCGCACATGGTTATGTGAAGGGCTACGGTCGAATTGATTCAATTGGACGGTGCCTGCATGCTGTTTAACTAAAATGTCAAAATGCAAGGTTGCATACATGGTATGATACCATGAAGATCATGTGACTTCGAGAAGATATGCCTTATGTAATCAAGCTTAGTCAGTACCGCACAGAAACAGCGGTTTTTATCATTTAAGCCCATACATTTCAATACGTCAGATTTCTGTCATAATTCTTAAAATAGCCGTGCCAAGCGCCCAACACCAGGTCCCCTGGTGTTGGTGTGCGCCCCACCAGATACCAGATTTTCACCAGATCCCAGATTTGCAATTTTATGTATCCTTTATATGACTTCCCTATACAAAAGGTACTTAGTTACCCTATAGATATAACATGCATTTTCTTAGCACTCGAACTAGCTAAAGTAATAGAAAGTATACGAATATATATTAAAAGTCTAGCTTAATTAGTTTAATGGTAGTATTAATTATTAGTATCTAATATAAAAGAAGAAGAATAATTTCAAAATGACACTATATGAAGGCTATACAGGGGAAATAACCAGGTACTTTCTTGAATTTAGTGTACTTAATATTTCTTACCAAAGTTTGGTTAAATAATATAGACTTCCTTTACACTATATATATCTTCTTATATTTGCCCTAACTAGTTCCAGTGCTGAGAAAATGTATGTTATGTTTACGGGGTGTTTAAGTACCTTTTGTATAGGGAAGTCATACAAAAGATACATAAAATTGCAAATCTGGTATCTGGTGAAAAATCTGGTATCTGGTGGGGCGCACCAACACCAGGGGTGCCCGAAGTCGTCCATCCCTATTTGATCAAGTTAAAACTCTCTTTCTCCACATATTGGCCTTGGTGTCTGTTTGGCCAGCCTAGTCAAATCTCCACTTCTCTTTTTCCGAGGTCCCATATCTGCACTCCGATCCCGCGTTATTCTCTTCACTTCAACTTTGGCTCTGGCAGTCAACTGAATCAATATGGACAATCAGAACGCAACACTCTTGAATGAGCTCCATAGCGACCTTGCTCGGAAATACCAAAAACATGCAGCCGCGGTTGAGACCATCTGGAAGTCGTTTAGCCCTGACGAACGAGCAAAATGTTTCAAAGCTGGGGCTGCAGATGGTGCTGTGTTGAAGCACCCCTTGGACCGGTCTCTGGGAGATGTCTACAAAGTCATACCAGAGTTGAATTTAAACGATATCATGTCCAATCCAGACTTCCTTTTGAACATCCTCAAATATCGAGCCACAGCGACCCTCTTTGAGCAGTATTGTGCAGGCGTCAATGGCGGCCCCGGAGATCATGCCATGATCGAAGAGTCGATGCGCAGGGGGCTTAAACACACCAACCCCTTCAAAAACTGCTACACTATGTTCCAAGGCTCCATGTACGCCACATCTTACGAAATCGTGGCTAAAGAGGCCCTCGCCGTTTTTGAACCCGCTATTCGCGCGCGCGTCTGTGTTCCACAGTCGGTCGGAGAGTTTGTTATGCAAAGGCAAATCTACACCTTGCAAACCCTCAATATTCTCATCGAGGATATTCTGGAGCGAGGCTCGCAAAGTCGAGCCCTAAAGACCCCAAAGAAAAAAAAAGCCCACTGACGTCAGAGCGGCGGCTCTGTCGAAACCAACTACCCAGAAGAAACGTACACCTTCCGACCTGGTCGTCAGTACTCGTGACCACCAAGACACACTTGAAGGGTACATTGGTTTGCTCTCCACTGAGCCTGTTGTGCTTGCTCACGATGTGAATATCTGGTTTTTCAGCCGCCCAGAACTCGTCCCTGACGAAAAAGGACGCCGATTGCCTGTTCATACCGATAAATACATCAGTGCTGCTGTTTTCGAGTCAGTCCACAGTTCAATTCAGGCAGCCGCCGTTTGGAAATACATAGCTAGTATCCTCGAGCTGCTTGAGAAATCGGCTGAGGATAAGGCCTCTCGAGCTATTCTCCTTCAGGAGATTTCCAACATATGCCAACTCGAATTGAATCGTGCGCAAACCCTTTTCAAGCGCCATGTTCAAACTTCGACGGGATCCAAGTGGTTCAAGCGAACGTCCAACGTGTATGATAGTGCCGGAAATCCGCGCGTTGGCATAAAAGGCAAACCGGAAGACATTGCCACATCTGACCCACAGCTTCATTATATGTTGCGTCTCTGCCAGCCAAAGCTCACTATTCCCAACGCCACAGCCTGTATCACGAAGCTCAGCGAGTATCATAAATCTCACCCCCAGGAGCGGGAGGAGCTGGAGGATAGAGAGGCCGACGCATTGGGTGACCTGGCTATCATTATTGGTTTTATCCAGGACTTGTCTTCTGTGATTCCTATTCCCTCATTTTCCAATAACAAGGGTCAGATGTTTGCCTCGAAAGCACAGGAATTGGAATCCGAGTTCAACCAAGTTAAGGATCAACTTGACTTACTCGATTTTGTCGTTCCTATCGACAACCTCCTAGAGCCAGGAGTGGCTAGTGGAGCTTTGAAAAAGCTGGACCAATTTGCCATCGAAAAGTTTGGCACAAAAATGGGTTTCTTGTACCAAGACATGGTCACGGACTGCCTGTCTCGTATTCAGGATCAATGCAATGAGGCCAAGGCTAAACTGGCCCAGGGGTTGAAGGCTGAGTGGTCTTCTACTCCGGTAAAGACCCCGGAGCCGACAGTGGTCCGAGTCGAACAGCGGAAGCAAAAGGAAAAGACACGTCCCTCTCATTCGTCTATCTACGATATTGTTACGCCCAAGCTGCCTTCTCCGCAGGAGCCTGTTTCGCTCCCACGGACCTTCAAGATCGATGAGTCGACTGCGGAGATCTTCGCAAGGTTATTCAGCAAATCAGAATCGCGTGGCCCAGTGGCCTGGGCGGCCTTTGCTGAAGCGATGGCAAAATTGGGATTCTCAATCTCGCCTAAGTATGGCTCGGTTTATACCTTCTATCCACCGGACAGCATGACTGTAAAGAAGTCATTCACTGTGCATAGACCACATCAGTCTAAAATGGAGGGATATCGAGTCCTTATGGTGGCCCGGCGGTTGAGGAGTTTGTATGGATGGAGCGAAGAGACCTTTCAAGTTAAATGAGTGGATTAATAAGGTAGCATGTTCAATACAGTTTAAAGTCCGTCTGAGTTAGCCATTATTCTTATATCTGAAGGACATGTAAACTGAAAGAAATAGCAAATATTCCGTAGTATACACCGTACGAAGCCGTCGCTATGAACGTCCTTTCATTTGGGTTGCTTCCCATCTGCAACTTTCTCTTTTCACTGGCATCTCTTCTCTTTCTCCTTCTCGTCTCATCCTTCCTCTCCATTACTCTTCTCTTCTTCGGCCTCCACTGCGATTCCATCCCCCATATTTCCCTCTCCTCTTATATCCTACTGTTTCAGTCCGCTACATCCAAATCGACGACGAACTTCCCTCAGATGAGCGCGCCATGCACGCGATTTGCGACGCAGATTATTTTCCACCGCGATACCAGCTTGCTGAACGACAGATATACTCCCTACGTCAGATACCAGCGGGGCTATGGAGCTGAAAGGCCGGTGGACTTCAGTCGAACGAAAGTGCTATCCACATGCCACTCCTTTTTTGGCAGGATACAGTAACTCTGGCTTACAAAGTCGAGGTCATGAACACTTCTTAATTATATGTGTAAAGTGTTGTGCTACCGACCAAAAGCCGACATCTTCGAACAGCGTGCTGCGACTGGAGATTCATGGGACGAGCGAGAGTCCCCTAGCTTGGTTGATATCCTTGGAATCTTCAAGAATACAACATTGAACCGAACAGCGAAAAACGATATCACACTGGCCAGGGACATGGTTCCTTGTTATATGCAAAAACGTATACGTTTCGAGAAGCAGCCTATTATGATTAAAATAACATGCCTATAAGAAGAAATCAGTATAGGAGGGGAAAGACACGTTAGTAGTTAAGGGGCATATAGGATATTTAGGTGTAGTATGGTGGTGTTTAGGGCATTCAGGTGAATGGGCTGAATGGGCTGAATGGACTAAATAGTAGGGAGGCAAGAGATAATATAGAGAACAAAAAAACATACAACAGTGAGGATTCGCTGGTGGTCACCCACCCAACTACTAACTCACCGGCGTGTGGCTTGAGTACGGCTGAGCGGACGGGAAGCCCTATTTTCCACACCCTGTGGTCGTATGTATTTATTTCAACTGTAAAGGAGTATATGTACAAAGTATAGCAAAGTTATATAACCGGGGTAGAAACGGCCCGGACCGCCAGGGCTTTGTTGTTGTTGTTGTATTGATTAACGTCCATATGGTGACGGGCGTAGCCCGTCCACCGACTACCTCCCTTGGGGTATCGGGACGTGCTAAGCTATGGTATTATATATATTAATGTGCCTATAGAAAGCAACTCTTTTAAAGAAAAAGGGTGCTAGGTCCCTAGTTAGATGCCCGTCCTTCTCCGCTAGCTAAGAAAGATATAGTTAATATTAATAGTAGGGTAGTCCTACCGTAGGTTTTTAGGTAGTATATCCTATTTTAGGGCGGTATTACGCCTATATATTAAGAGGTAGGAAGCCGAAGCTACCCTCGATTCGCGCCTATATAGGTAAAGAATAAGAGTAGTAAGAGAAAGTAAAGAGGTAAGTTAAGATAAAGGAGATAGGGAAAGAGGGCGAGGGGAGGGGAGAGGGGAAGAATATATAATACGGGCCTAAGGGCCTTACCTTATATAAATAACGACGTAGAAGCCGGTAACGCGTAAGAGCTCGTCGAACTTAAAGGGCCTAAGTCTCTAGAGATAGGCTACGGCTATATCCCGGCCTACTAAAAAGAAAGGAGGCCTATTAGACTAGGCCCGGAAGCTACGCTACGCCCTATAGTAAAGTATAATATACTCTAATATCTTAGCCCTCCTATAGGAGTAGGAGAGCTTAGCGTTATTATATCGGAATTTATAATAGTACTAGCTAAAGTCCTTATACGAGGAGCGTAGAGCGAGCTAGCGGTATAGGGTAGGTCGATAAAGGTTAAGTTCTAAGAGGTCCTTAATTTTATATACCCCTTACTACCGTTAATATTATACCGATAACTTTAAAGAGGCTCCCTACTACTAGGCGTAGCGGGCCTCTTTTCGAAGATCCCGGTATATAGAGCGGATTCTACTAATTATAGGAGAAGCCTAGGGGGTAAGTCCTTATATACCGTAAAAGGCGTCTTAGTTAGTAAGATAGTTAGCTATATTATTACCCTCGATACCTATATAGCCTAGGGACTATCGTATATAGACGATCCGCCGGGCTATCATATTATAGTAGCGGATAAAGGCCTACTACGAGGTAGGAGGGGCGTTACCCTATAGCCCCTAAATTACTAAGATACTATCGATATAAAGCTATATCTCCCTTACGGGGAAGATCTTAGCGGCTCTCTCTAGTCCCCTTAGAGCCCTAACCGCTTTAGAGTTAAAGATATAGTGAGATTCGTGAAGTATCGCATGGTTTCTATTATGTTAGGAATACTAATGTCTAAATACCCTGCTAGTACGGGTACCTATAGCACCCGAACGTATAGGTTCGGGCCTTAGCATATCTTATACGGATATGTATAAGGGCCAATAATGCAAATCTAGTTATATAAGTAGCCTCTAGGATCATATCCTCCCCTACCGAATTAGAAACGGCCCTCCGTTTCTTCGAATAAAATAGGTAAGTAGACGTATAGGCCCTAGAGGCGGTAATAAAGGGGGTTTCGGATATACTAAGTCTATCGGGGATAATAGGGTATATTAGGATATTAATAAAGGGAAGTATTCGGGTATATCTATATCCGTTCGGGGATATCGGAATATATTATCTTTTAATAAAAGAAAGTTCGGCTAAGTAAGACTAAGAATAACTTTATAAAGGTTTATTCGAGGTCTTTTATACCTAGGTATTAAGTCGTTTCGGACGATAAAGTAATAAAATAGTTTAAAATATATAAGATATAATAATAGTAAGTTATTAAAAAGAGAGATAAAGAGATAGAGGGGTAGATCTATATCGAAGATAAATTTAATATAAGTAATATAAACTCGGTATAGTTCTTATAGATCTATAATTAAATTAATATAAATAGGATTAATTTATTTTAGTAGGTTATTATTAGATCTCTATCTATTAATTCTCTTTTTCTCTCTCTCGCTTCTAAATTCTTAGTTTCTTTCTCTTTTTTAATCAATTTTTATCGATTTTTATCTTTTTTTATTTAATTATAAATAGTTCTACCCTTTCTATATTTATTATAACTTAGTCCTTAGCCTAGATTATCTTTTAGACGGCCGAATATATAAAGCTTAAACCGCCTATAACCCTTAGAGATAATAAGGATAATAGTTCGGACGATAATAGTAAAGAATAAGATAAAAAAAGTAATAATAAAGCCGGCTTAGGTAAAGACGAAGGGGAGCTAGTAGAGACTATAAATATAGATATTAGAGTAGATAGTAAAGATAAAAATACTATCTCTAGCTATAATTAACTTAATATTTATTAATAGTAATCTTATAGTTATAGTTATTTCTAGATTTATTAGGGCTACTAGTACTATTATCGCGGTAGTTCTTAGTCCGATTAGACCTATTACTAAAGTTACTAGACTTATAATTAAGATTATTATATTAATAGCTAAGATAGCTATACCTATTCCTAATACTACTTTTCTTAGTCTATCTTAGTATAATAATATAAAAAGCTAGTCTTATCTTTTACTATTTATTACTATTAATAATATCTATTAGGCTATATAGATAAATAATAGTACGTTTAACTCTTTTTATTTTATTTATATAAAACTAACTATTATTTTATAAGTACTAATTATAATAGCGCCGGTCTATCTATACTTATTAAATTATCCGCTATACTAGCGAATAATATATAGCGCCGGATTAATACTAAGCGGGCTATACTTAATTAATAGATTAGTAAGCCTATCTATTTAAATATTATTAGCTATATATAAGCTATATTTAGTTAGCTAATTAACTATTTAGCTTTTACTAGTAGGATATATAAGCCTTATACTTATAGTAATAGATTATAAGGGTCCTATTATTTAGTTTTTTTAGAGGGTCTAGGTATTTAGTAGAATCTAGCCTATATAAACTATTAGTATTTTAGTACCGGTAATAAGTATTCCTTATATAAGTTCCTTAGATCTAATTTATCTTATATAATTATTAATATAATTATAGATACTTTAGGCCTCGCTACTAATACCCCGAAATAGATATATAACCTCCTATAGTTCTACTAACTAGATAACTCTTTTAAAGATAAGCCTATAATAATCTATTATATTATTATTTATTATCCTATTAAAAAGAAGAAAGCTATAACTACTAGCCTAACTCTAATTATATTAGATAATAATAATATTATATTTAAACCGGCCGGTATAAATAAGAAGAAGAATAAGAGTAAGAGAAAGGCTATAGATAAAGAGAAAGCTATTATTACTAAGATTACTCTAGCGCTTATAAAAATATATAAAGCCGTTTAGGATACTACTAAGGCTAATAAGAAGTATATAACTCTTATATTTATTATTATAGCGCTAGCTTATAAAAAGACTAAAGATAAAAAGAATAAGAATCCTAATCCCCCTATCTATATAAATACTACTCCTTATTCTAGTCTTATTTTTAATTTAAATCTTTATATTAGTCTATTAGACTAGCCGAAGGTTTATTATAATAAGAATAAAAAGTATTTTATAAAATCTTTTAATTATATTTAGGAGATACGCCGGCGTATATAGTATAATTACTAGTTTATATAGGAATTTATTATTTCTTAAGGCTAATAGAATAAGACGGATAATACTAAAGAGTTAGAATCTAATAATTCTAAGATTAATTTAAAAGAACCTATAGATACCTTCTAATATTAATTAATAGCGGCGTTCTATTTAAGATCGTTCGGACCCCTTTTTTATATATTAATCTTTTTTTAAGATATTTATATCTTTATAACTACGGTTTAGCGATATTTTCTAAACTTTACCCCTTTTAGGCGGCTCTTTTTATATTATTATATAGGTAATATAATTCGAATT